CTGAGATCAAAGGCCACCCCCTTTGCCCAGTATCTGCACTACTATCTGCCCTTGCTATTACTTTCCCCTCCAGCCCAGACTACCCCCTCTTTACGTTGCCCAGAGGTAAACCTTTTCCCCCCTCCCTGTTCTCATCTCTCCTGGGCACATGCTTAGCTAAGGCAGGTTATGACCGTACTTGTTTTTCACCTCATTCCTTTAGGAGGGGAGGCGCATCTTGGGCTCTACAAAGAGGCCTTCCCCCTAATGTCATCCAGATTCTAGGTGACTGGAAGTCAGACGCATATAAGGTTTATCTTGAATTACCTGTAGCTTCAAAAGTAGAGATGGCAAAATCTTTTTCAACTAACCTACCTTCTACTACTTCTACTTAACATCAAGTTTGGGTTCGGAGGTCATAATATTATATGCTATTATGTAACTACTTTAATGCAATGTACTGTTATGTATTTTCTATTGTATTATTACGTAACATCTATTAATTAACGCATTATAATATTATGTAACTTCTATTGTAGTTTATTGTTTTAGTTTAGTTAGGTACAATAAACTATTTGACCAACTACTTGTAGTTTTTTGCGTCTATTTTTCGTATTTGGCATTATTGGGAATTTAAGTTTAATTTCAGTTGAAATAGATTTAAATTATAGAGGTTGCCATCTGGTTCTGCAGTTCATGCAAAGGTCATGAACTTTTAATTATGTCTAGATCATCTAATCACTTCAGCTACTGCAGCCAAGCACTAAACATGTACTATTTTTAGCTAATGCTCCCTCCCACCCTCCCCTTAATTGAATTAGGGTGTACTGGACTGGGAGGTCATAATATTATATGCTATTATGTAACTACTTTAATGCAATGTACTGTTATGTATTTTCTATTGTATTATTACGTAACATCTATTAATTAACGCATTATAATATTATGTAACTTCTATTGTAGTTTATTGTTTTAGTTTAGTTAGGTACAATAAACTATTTGACCAACTACTTGTAGTTTTTTGCGTCTATTTTTCGTATTTGGCATTATTGGGAATTTAATGTAACATTCAATTTTTTGTTCAATATTCATTCTAGTTTCACGGGTATACGAGTTGATTGAAAGTAATTTTACAAAATGGCCGCTGATTTAAAAGAGGCCATATTACCACTATTTGCTATAATTTGAATAGTAATGGAGCGATTTTGTTGTTTTTATGTTAATAGGTTAATTTCACCAATCCAACTCTTGTAAATGGCGTCAGGTTGAGGATTTGCTACTTCATTGTGTTTCAGTTAAGAGGTTTCGCACAACTGGTTATAACTAAAACATATCTACAACCGCATCTCGTTTTCAATTGAATTACGCATACAGGTGAATGCAAAAATCTGGTGAATGCGTTGTACCATGGGCTTTCAATCTATGGTTATACGTTACGGATTTTAGATACATTGAGCTAAAAACGTTCTGCGAAACCTCTCTATCGACAACAAGACTTTTACGAGTACATAATAGAAGGAGGATATCCGCGGGGACATCGAAATGTGACTAAAACAAGTTTTGTTCTGTATCGATTCTTCCGGGAAATACACAAGACCCAATCTACACAAGAATGATAACAATAGTTCTTGTTATCGGTAGAGAGACACACATATAGAGTACTCGGGTACTAATTACATTCAGAATTGATGATGTTGTTTCATTTATTCTACGTATCCAGGTAGGAATATTGGCTCATGTGCCTCAGCAGTGAACGGTAGTATTGAGTCAAGGTGGTTCGCGAGTAGGTAAGTGAGACAAATCAATTCAATGCCAGATATAGAATTTATATGGCTAGTAATAGGTTACAATCATGAATGGTTATCATGGTTGATTTATCGGTCATCTAGATATGGTGGAAGGATTAGTAATAAATATCTGGATAATGTCCACAGACTGAATGAAGCAAAGGAAGGTTGGTACTGTATGTATGTCGCTTGACAACACCCATTGGTAGGGAAAGATTGCCAAACCAACAACAGAGGAGTACACAGAGTGATTACGGAATATACCCAAGAGATATTACTCACCTTCATTGGTGCTAAACAAAATACAATACAATTAGCGATTGATCGAGGAGTAGTATAGTAAGGTGTGGCATTGCCTCATTTCCTCAGAGTACATTGGAAGTCGTATATAGCTATATTCTAATGATTTATAACCAGGCAATATCCAATAGCAAATGATATAATTCAACATCATGTTCGTCACATGTGTCAACATGTTCCGAGATATGTCACGAAGACTGTGGATCCTGAGTCTCAGGTGGATCATATACGTTATATAGGGGACGACTGTCAATTTGAACACTTCATACATGTATGTGCATATGGTCGATGGAGCATTGGAAAGAAATGTAACCAAAATATAAAATAATGAAGTCTTTGATAAATGGTCGAGACTAGTTGTGATAGATTTCTTACAGTTTCACAATATTTTACAACATCTCTCGTTGTCATATCATTTTCAAGTTCAAGGAAGTTTATTCGTGGGATTGCTTTTATGTTTAAGGGTATTATTGGAAATTATTATGAAAAATGGATGTCAATTTTCAATTTCAAACAAATTGGACATTTCCGCATTTTAGCTGCTTAGATCAGATTTTTTCTCAGATATTTAAGTTTTGATCATTGAATTTTATTCTACAAAATGGCTAAACGACATTTCCTAAAGTCTATTGTGAAAATTGTAAACATTCGCGCCATCACTGCTTCCCTGTCTTGGTGTGGATACAATTGCCCTCCCGATACTAACTAAGTGGTTTGTTTAAACAAGATATAGTTAATCACAAAGTAACCTACCAGGCTCGGGGGGTCATTGTATATAAACCTTGAGGGGGATCCTTGGCGCACATGGGGTACCTTTTTAACATTTGGTATGGCAATAGACCCAAATTTTAGGATCTGGTATGAGAATACCCCCCTCCCAAATTCCACTTTCAGGTATGAGAATGGTCGTGGAAATATGTTACCTCACACTTGTGGTGTGGTATTGGTCTAGTAATTTTACATATCCTTAATAATTTGAGGTTGTTTTGGATCGTTTTCTTCATAGATTTGCCTTCTTCTCAAGGCCTTCTTCAGTTTGAATATTAGCTTTTTCTACTTTGGACATTTGGTATGACACTGGTCCTATATTAAGATATTTGGTATGACATTGGTCTTATATCTTAACATCTGGTATGGCATAGGTACTATATTTGGACATGTGGTATGGCTGTTGGGCTTTATTTTGGTTGGTATGGGAAATTTGAAATTGAAATTTGACAGATTGGTATGGGAACCTATTGATATCTGAGGGTTCAGCTTAGGACCCCCACCAACATTTGTGTACAGTAAATCCCCCGGGCTACCAAGCCATACGCAATCCTTTTTATTCCTTCTCAAAAATATCTTCCTAAGAAACTGGTAACATGATCTGAGGGGGTGTCAATTTATATCTGTTCAGACCATATAAATACCACATTTTTACCAAATATGGGAGAAAAGGTGAAATATAGTTATGATATCCAGATGTTTGGGTTGAATATTCCTTTAAACGGAAGATATAATTAGGCGTTGTTAATTATTAGACTCATCGGTCTTGCTTACGTAAATATGAAGAAAGAATTATTTATACCACTTACATTTCCTACGAGCAATATTAATAAGTACTGCCTGTACATAATTAATTTCGTCATTAGGACACGTTCATGAATTCTAAGAAGAATGCGATAATTATAAAAGGCGTATTCCAATGCGAAATTATCCAATTATTAAATTACATCTTACTTGAATTCGTTAATACAACAATTGATAATGTAATTGGCTAATAATCGACGTCTTTATTATATTCGTGACTAACTCACGTATGTCTTTACTTGTAGGTATAATGGCTCATCAACGAACTCTAGTCATCAACCCATAACAACCACCTGTTTAATCAACGTGTGCTTTCAACCATATTTATAAACGCGAGATCCATTGCAAGGATACTGAAGCTGTGTCAATCAGAGACATTATATATGTCTCTGGACACAATATGCCAATGGGGATTACCAGCCTGATAGGTCATCAGACGAACACTACTTACTTTTGAGCTTCTCTAGGGTGTCGCGATATATATCACACTGAATGTCCTTTAGCTTTGAAGAATAGCTCACGTACCGTAAACCAACTGGTGGCTGCGCAAGGTACAGGGCTGTGGGTGAACTACTGATTAGGAATTGAATTACCAGTATCTCAACCTCAGATATTGTTCACTGTTGCTAGTTTCATTAAAGGCCTCGTATAAAAATGGAACAAAGGCTATCATCTAAATATTTTTCTTGTGCATTCGTTGTACACTTGTTTTTTAAAGTGTAAATTTACCTCAGTTTCATTCAGCGTTTGAACACAACAGCTTAGTACATTGCACTGTGGTTGCTTTATCAACAATTGATACATGGTTACTATAGTAACAATAAAATGTTAGAAAGTTATCATACATCATGCATTTTTAGCTTAATTGAAATTAGATAGTTTCTAATGACTGCTCTTACACAGCTACTTTTTTCAGTAAATGTAGTAATTTAAATTATCGTTGCTGCTACAGCAAGAGGGGCAAAGTAACCATAGCAACAACATATAAAATGTCGATGAAGATCGGGCAGGAATTGTTGTTCTTGGTAACTCCCTGAAAACATGAATAGATAATCAGACATCTAGTAGATAAGAATAACAATTAACATTTTGTTTTCACAAGAGGGATATAGCTACCATAGCAACAACATTTAGAAAATACAAACGTTTTCGGTATACCATAAGCTTGATCAAGATCCAGGCCACTAGTCAATAGGCATAAGGAATAACCTGTTATTTCAAGGTACAACAAATTCACAATCATTCCCAAAAAGGTCATTCAAATCTCACATAACATTGGGCAAGCCTACAATATTATATGCTTAGTGGTGTAAATTATACATGGGGTCTTTATGGTCATTACATCACTTACAACATGCTACAAAGTAACGCTCGCGACTGGAACTTGTTAATATATCGTCAATGGTGATCTGCGTGTGCTTGTCAAAGTTGTTGTAAAGGAATATTAAATTATCAAGCTGGTACTCCTTCATAAAGCGACGAGATTATATTCAATCCTCTGTCGTGCTTACATATGGATCTATAACATGTGTAACCAACAAATGGGTTGGGCAAATGCTAAATACTGGATGGATAATTACTGACGGTGAATCCAGAAACAGAAAGAGTGGTGATCATTTTCCATAATGGCGAGAAGATATAGAAAAATGAAACACCCAGGTAAGCTATTAGGTATACTATAAGTAATGTATTTATAAAATTGTGCATTTTGTGGTTATAATTTATCTTTCATTAATATGATAGAATTTTATATAAACATACAGATTAATTCATTTGCTGTGTAAACTTCAGTCTCGTGATGAATAATTATTAAGCCTCTGTTATTGAAACTCCCGAACAGGTAGCTATGCAATGTGATATATGATATGTGTGGATTATTCTCTGTATTTTTTAGTGTTGACGTGGGCACATGTAGGGAGAAGCATTTTGTGTCTACTGAAGATTATATGGCGCTATATATCATACATAAAATATCTCAACCCACGAAACTTAAGTATGAGACGTAAGAAATCTCAAAACCCTGCATTTGATGAGAATTTGGGAACCTTCCCCAAGCCGTCACTATGGGAACTATTCATCGAGAAATTCCAAAGCGGTGAGTACCACATTGGAGCGTTTCATACTAGAAACACTTGACAATAATATAGTTATTTTGAGTAATCTTGAACTTGTTTTCAACTTTTAGAGCAATCCACCAAGAGGCGACTACAAGAATGGGTTCACAATCAGATCCCAGAATTCCATATCTCCAACTTCACCGATGCATGGTGTGATGGGATAGCACTTTGTGCTTTAATAGAGAGTCTATACCCAGGCGCCTGCCCAAGACATGACCTCCTTCGCCCTCATCACAGAGTGAACAACTGCAGACTAGCACTGAAGTTGCTACAGAAGCACCTGGGTATAACACAGGTCAGTTGATAGTCTTGCTTAGCCCGTGTGCCCAATCCCAAACTATAGCCTCCTACAAGTAGAACAATTGCTAGCAAGCAGCGAATCAGCAAGCATAATCCACTGACTGAAAACTGAGACCATGTTGTCCGTGGTTAAATTGCTTGTAATTAACACAGGTTTGGGTCTATAGATTTGTCTGCTTTGGTAGAGCATAAAAACACTGAGAAAACTTCACAATTTATTAATTTAACTTTTAATGACACAATTTAGTGACATAATAGTATTTACATATGAGATCTAGATGTAGTTATTGCAGTTAATGAGATCTAGATGTATTTGGTATTTTGTCCGCTATGTGAGAGCAGTTTCAAGAAACACATTAGATTCCTTAATATATTTTACTACACACTTTAGAGTAGCTGAGAGAATGTGTCGAAACCATTTCTCAAATTAACAAGCCACAGGAAAAGGGGTCTTATCACATATTTTTCAATATTTTGATTTTTTGTTTATCTTAAAAAGCGCAAAGAGACCTTTCAAATGAGCCATGGCTTATCTCTTAACAATTTTTTCTTGCAGATATAGACCAAAAGACGGATTTGAATTTAGCACATTTTCCTCTTAATGCTGAGCACATTTTTGGCTCTGTAGCACAATTTTAAGATAAGACCGGTTTTCCCATGGCCAGGCTATTTAATAGTAATATGTTTGTAATACCATATCAAGCATCTTCTATTCTTAATTTATATGTTTCTTAGAGCAATTTTGGCGAAAATGGCTTTTAAAGCCTTCATTTTAGATGTTATTGAACATCTTATTATGATTATGATAACAAACAAGATGCTTTCAGGCAATGAAGGAGGATATTTTACTCATAATGATATATAATCTCATGCTACAATCAATCCTCGACCCACTGCTTTTCCAGCGATGATTGCAAAATATTTTTCGATTATCAATATGAATAGTTCCTTTAACTACTTCCTGGGAACACCTTCACGGAGACTTTAAAGGGCAGATGGAAATGCATTAGGCGGTTATTAAAGAGATCAATTCCTTAGTGGCTATATGAGAAGCAATTTGCCACATGAGACCCTGTTATATTTCTTTCACTAAACCTCAGAGGAAAAGGGCATATACAATTTCAATTTACTTTATGTAACCATGACCAAACCATTGAGTTGGAGCTAAAATACCGCCGATTAACGTATCCAGACGTTTTTTAAATTCACTCGTTAATAAACGCAACTTTTTTTTAAATGTCATGGAAAATGATTTAAATGACATAACTGTGTAAATCAAAGCTATAATTGGAGAAAATGTGTCACTGAATCCAAATATGCTATCAAAAATAAAGAAAAGTAATTCATTAGAGGAAAATGTGCAAATCTCTTAAAATCTCATGTAAAAACGAAAATTAGCGAGATTTCAAAGCTATTTAGAAAGCCCTCTATTCTCATAATATACATATGTATCGTGCCATATAATAGATTTAACAATTCGTATTCACATAAAACAAAATTTATTGTCATGTCGTAATTCTAATCGTAACCTTTGTCGTATTCTAATCGCAACCTTTTATGTTCTGGAAAAATATCCCAGAAACAAGTTAAATTGATATCTCACAAAAGAGGGGTGACAGATGTGTAAAGATTCAATGTGCTATTGGATTTTCATCCACCAGATCCTTAATACACAGGGTGTATTTCCTTTTCAGAAAATCATAACGGCTGAGGTCATGGCAAGTCTTGGTGGTGGATTCGAGAGAGAGGAACAGATAAAGGCATTGTTAGTGATTATAAGAAGAACTGCTCACTCACAAGGCAAGAAAACCAAAACTCCGTCTCGTAATTCCAACACCGCTGACACCAATGTAACAACAGTGGTTAAACCGGGAACAATGAACCAATCAGACGTGTTAAGAGCAAAAGGCAGCGGTTTAAAAATTGGCACAGTCGGAAAACGAGCCAAGTTTACAATACTGATACAACAAGGTGGATTAGTTGATCTGGAGATAGAAATACAAGGACCATCAGGCGACAAATGCTCTGAAAAGTTAAAAAGTATGTACCCTACACGGCGAATGAGTCAGATGTTTGGATCTTTGAAAGACTATCATCAGAAATCTGTGTCAAGATTAAACTCTCTTAACCAGACTCGAAACGATACTGATAAGAGTATATTGACAGATTCATCCGGCAACACGTACCTTAGAGAAAACTCCCTTTCTAGTTGTTCACCTTGTAGTAGTGTAGATGGAGACCATAGCAAACGTATACCATTTGATTATCAGTGCGTTGGTGATGGAGAGTTCCTAGTTAGTTATATTCCAAGGAGCCCAGGGGAACACATACTTAGCATTAAATGTCAAAACGCTGATATCCAGGGGAGCCCATTTAAAGTTAAAGTTTCTGAATATATGTCGGTCTTAAGAAGTGGAACTCAGTCTTTTGAAAATTCATTTGACCAACATGACACCCGCACGGACTCGTTCAGTTTTCCCAGTACTGACCTTAGATCAGTCAGTTATAACGATCAAGACACGAATATTAATCATACGTTCAAGTCACCAAATAAAGGAAGGGAGAATTTCAAAAAACTTACAAAACAAGCAACTGTTACCAGACGTCGTATTCTCAAACGAGTAATTACAAGATTTGGAAGCGACGACATTATTCTCCAGGATGCTAATTCGAACACGGAAGAACCAGGAGGTTTTTCAACTTTTGATTACCAAACGGGTCAATCCAATAAAACAGAAGAGAACAGACCACATCCAAGATCACGATTACTTAGTTATCAGGGAACATTTGAAGACGTTGCTCTAAAGGCAAGTTCTACAATTATGAAGGATGTCTTTAATTCTTTGAGTACGGATAGATCCATTTCGTTCAATTCAGCGGATGAAACAGATCAGCAACAAAGATTACCAGCAATATACGAAAGCAAATCGTCCGATAAAAAAACAGAAGTTCAAAAACAAAAATCGTCCGTTGATGTTAACGATGAAGTGTTTCATACCCCAGGTACGAATGGCAATATTGATAGTGACCAAACTACTGTACGTAATGATCATGGCCATAAAGATAAAGCAACATCAAATGATCCTCCAAGTGGACTTATTGAAGCCGTGTCTAAAGTAGAAGTAAAAGAGATTCAACCTTCCACTGCGACACGACCTCAACTGAAGAGAGTCTACTCGGTTGAGCTACAACAGCGAGGAGAGCAGGAGAGCCCAACATTAAAATTTATTCAATCTGAAAGTATGAGCAAATCCTGTATGTATATAAGTCAAAAGGCTTTCATGCAAAGTATGTCAACAATGAATTCTGAGGATGACCAGTTTCAGAACCAAATAGAAGGTACACAGAATCCAAATACCAAACAAAAATTAAGACTCACTAGATCATTGCCAGTAATGAGCAATAAGTGGGGGGCCGTTGATATTGATGATGTTGCAAACGCCGACAATAAGGGATTAGACGATGTCAAGTTAAAGAGTGACCCCATCAAGGACTTAGGGAGCCAAATGGAATCCAACGAAATGCGTGTTGGTAAATGGTTGAAGAGGATGCAATCAAATCACAGTATTGATTTACCATGTCCACCGAATACACCGGCAGATACACTGGACACACCAGCAGATACACTGGACACTCCTAACCCTTTTTTCACATTTGTAGAGCCAACCAAAAATGAGCATCAATCCGATATCAATGACAAGAACAACGATACTGCCGAAAATGATGTGAAAAACAGTCATAGCCAGGTGTCAAGGCAGAATGGACATAGACTGACTCTTAAGAGACAGGATATGGCGGTTCTACAGAAAGTTAGTGAAGAGAGTTCAATGGAAAGTGACAGTCGCACCAATCCACATAAACTCAGCTCACTGGAGAAAGATGGTTACGTGCATCCGATCCACTTGAGTTCCTCGGATAGCGATACACGAAATAACCGACCCCGAAATAGCAGTTTGTCGTCTGTAGAAGACAACAGACCAAAAACACCCGCTGAAGTAATTGAGAAAGAGACTCAAGTTAGCAGTCACGAAATTAAACTTGCAACTGGTTGGATAATGAATGCACTTCATGTGCGCCCAAGAAGGAAAGTACAAAATGAATCAGAAATTATTCTCGAAAACAATGACAAGAGTACGAGGAAAGAGCACATACCGAGTATACTCTTACCTAGCAATAAGCCGGAGTTAAAGAAGACGTCACATACGGCATCAGGCGCGTCCGCTGGAAACTCGAAACTACTACCCATACGCCAGTCAACAGTTGATACCATAGACAGTGGAATTGTTGATGATAATTTGTCACAAAGGCATAATGGTATACATACACTAGGTGTACCATTAGAACCAAAGAAACCGATAAGTTCGCGCTTTTTAAACGGTCACAGAGTTGTACAAAGAAAGACATACAGAGGAAACATTACTCTTGACCCTAGATTGATAGCTGGGAGTATTGACGTGAAAGCTCCTCAGAGCAGTTGGAAAAAGCGAAATAGACGATTTGTCGATAATAAATCACAAAGCAAATCTTCATCAGAAGGTTTTTGCGCTCCGTCTAAAGGTGGATTTAGAAGAAAGGTGCTCTTCTCCAAAAGGTTGCTATATTATCGCAGATCGAGTAGTAGGTCGAGAAGTTCAAGCAAACAATCTTGTAGTGTTCAGTCCAAGGATTCAGTTGATTCCAGGATATCAGCGTCTTGGGATTCAAGCTTAAGTATAGCCGAAGCAGACCCAAAGCAGGATTTCAAACTCACTGCTGGTCAAAAGCATTCACGAGGTGCTCTATTGGAAAATACAAAATCAGTTCGTAAACACAATGAAAATAAAGATGATATTATGTGCGAGTGCACCAAATATGTCCAGAATAGAAGCTACTACATAAACACACTTGGAATTAATGTCGACCAAGAACTTTGTTATTGTGCCTCTGATAGCAGCGAGAGTGATGACGACAAACACGTAGGTCGTCGATCGAAGACTTTGCAAAGACAAGGTTGCTCTACAATTGATTCACATGGAAGTGATTCGAATTCATATTTCGGTATATCCGAGATTGAAAGACAAGATCTCCTTGGAGAACTAGACGCATTTGGCAATATTAGTTCTCCTAAAATGAGCCGCAAAAACTCCGTGAAAGATTTAGATGAAATCATTGATAAACTGTATGAAGGAACAGAGCCTTTATCCAATAAAACTATAAAGGCCGACGATTCAATTAATAACGACACTAGACTAGATGAATTCTTGACACTGCCCCAACAGTTACAAGCGAATGGGACAAACGGCACGTATGGACTAGATCAGATCACAATTCAGAACAAATTGGATGTACTTGAAAAAAATGCCATAAATGATCGACTATCTGAGTTTTTAGAAGACCTTAATAGCAATGGTAGGGTGAGTGAGGCTAGTGATGATGCAAGTGTGTACTCTAATACATCGCACACCGACCCACAGAGGTGTGAAGCATACGGCACTGGTATTATGCATGGCAGGGTTGCAAATAAAAACAATTTCCAGGTAAGTCTAAACATGCATCAATTATAAGGATGACCAAAGCTTGACGAGCTAACAAAAATCATATCACAAGTACAGCGTCAAGTTAAGAACGTTTGGTATAACTTCTTAGATTGTGGGTGAATCCAGTGATATTTCTAATTTCTAATTAACTTCTAAATTTCCCAGTCCATCATTTCTATTATAAATCAATATGAAACGTTACAAAACCATATTAACCATAAAAACTATGAAAAATATGTTAGATGACTTAGTTGAATGTGGACCTAATGCCTCAGTCACCTTTGACTACGGCAACTGTGCGGCGGTCGTAGGTTTCAAAAATCAAGAGAAATATGCAGTATAAAATACAGGGATAAGCACTTCGATGTAGATTTTTTAACGATTTTGTGAAAGAAACGACCGTCGCACTCCCGCCTTAGTGAAATTGTGACTGAGGCTTAAGTCGGAACCTAAATACTGCATATTGTTCAATTTTCAATAGTTAGTTCCGATGTTTATGAGATTAAGCTTTGATCCCAAATAGGACGATCTGTCAAAATCTAGCTGTCCAATAATAGCGTCTCTAATTTAGAACCGAACCACATCCAGCATATACATATCATAGTTCTATTGTTGCAGGTGACAACAACAGGTGGTGGTAATGGTTCTCTGTCGGTGGGCATACAGGGACCTAGGCCCCATACAGTTCTAGAGACAAACGTCACATACACAGGGGACGATCTGTATGAGGTCATCTATGAAGTAGCACAACCGGGACATTACGTGATTGGTATCAAATGGAGTGACGTAGCTATACCTGGTAGTCCTTTCCTCTGTAAGGTTACATATTAGGATACGATATATACATGTACTTCCCGGGATCAACGTGTTATACACTATCATGAGACGATTGATTATTTTTCATCAGTGTTCGACCTTGAGTGAACTAGTCTACTACGGGTCACTTCATTCCTTCGTAAAATCCACCATCGATAGGTTGAATAAACTACACGTGCAGCCCCAAGTGGATCAGCTTGATATATTTCGTTGTGTCGACGAGAACAAAGTCCCTCTTAAATGTGTGACTGTTTTGATGCAATAGAAGAATACATTTATATATTTTCAGAGATAATCCATACACCCCTACAAAAAAGAAACTGGCATCCATAAACATTACTATGTCTTAGCCTAATAGCTTCATAGGGAGAGGAATATCATATTTTTACCGAAATCATTTATTCAATGAGAAGAGGATATTTCATTACAAAATATAATTACTTGGTGCCCATAAAAATCTGAGAGTAACACTACCTTGTTCATTGACATTGTAACCAATATCGCCAAGTCCGTTGATGTCTTAAAGGCTATTGGAGGATTACTGAGTGTGTGAATTTCAAATCAATCAGACCATGAGTTCTTAAGTTATCACTTTTTAGTTTTAAAGTCCCATAATCTTTTGACAAATTAAAAGGTGAATTTCCTCAGTCAATGAATGGTTATATGAATCAGAAGGAGAAGGTACCATATCCTAATGCTTGTAGCAGTTTTACATCATATAATCAAAACAGATGGGTATCATATGCGTTCATCATCTCAACACTTTTTTAGACAACTTCAAGAATATTACCAAGAAATGAAAAATGACAAAAGAGAAATAATGCATGACACCAGGACATGGTGCAAGAAGTAACACGGCGTTAACATTCAAAATGTCACCACCTGTCTTTTGTTACACATACCAAACGCCAAATACCAAACATTGAAGACCTTCCACAAAAAGTTGGAGACTAACAATATGTCATCTCTACTGGTGGTGAAATAAAGAAGGTTGAGTTAATCAGCCAGGTGGCTGTAAATAATTTGAAGTTTCTGGAATGACCTCAAGTTTAATTACTTCCTCTCAGCCAATAATTAAGAAGAGATCAGTGCCAATCTTGGTAATTCTGTTCTTCATTAACAAGAAATTAGAGGTGATACTCTCATCCTTCACTATTGTGACACCTACCTTTGTGATATCATCCCAATCTAATTAATTAGTGATTCTCCCGACATGATATTTACATAATCCAGATTACATATGCTTACTGTTTTATTCCATGTATTTATTTCAGTAGTCTATGTGGTACAAAATCTATGTACATGTCGAATAAATACAGATATCAGATGTTACTTTTGGTAGTTGTTTTTAAGATCTCTATATGTCATTAAATGCCTAATGCTCAAGGTGTTTCATTATCTCTATTGGCAAAAAAGTATACGAGGTGTTGAGCGTACTATACATAGTCAAAAGTGATACAGCTTAAAGCCTTTATCTCATCATATCAAGAGATCGTGCTCCAAATAAATCTTAAAGATTTTTGTTGTGTCCATATATTTGTAAGAACATATGAAATAAATAGTTCATACAACTGCATTCTACTGAGTTTTTGTTGTTTATGTTGTTGTTGTTATAGTAACTCATTCATACCCCCTGGAATACAAGGATAAACAAATAACATTCATAGAGACTAGAGGTTACTGGTTGTGAGTTTTTGAACTTCTGTGTTGGATGTGAATAGTAATTCCTTGAGTTTTTCAAGTTCAGATAACAGGGTGTTACTGATGTATGTTATACATTCAAAAAAATTTCCTTTATAAAAGTTGCTAACACATTTTGAAGCAAGCACCTTAAAGATTCTTGGACCGAATGGCATGTTCTTAAGGTTGAGAAAGTTAAGTTCCATAACCATAATTTCAGTAATGAACCCTATAGCAAATGAGTAGTAAGCCAATTTTGGATGTTTTTAAAAACAGCGCCATTTTTTATAAAATGATTTACAAAAATCTCAAATAAGAATGACTTACTTGACCATTGTGGCAATGTCCCAGTTTGTATCTGATGACATAGGACCTTCTATTCTAGCGCCGTCTTTTGTTACTATGGCAATTTCATACTACAAAAAATCAAGGATATCCATGGGATTTCAAAACAACATTCAGTTTTATTTTGTCATTTGAACTGTATAGCCAAATATTAATCATTTCCATATTTGCGACGTCATGAAATCACCACGTAAGCTCATGTAACAATGCACGTCACATTTGTGGGAGTTTTCAGATCCGTGGAAAAAGTGATATTTGTGGAATATTCTCCGCATTCCACAGATATCGCTTTTCCCACACATTTGCAAAATATCACAAATATATATAAGTGTTATTCTACAGGTTTGACCTCTACTATGGGATGAAATATCATAATATATACATGGGGTGTACAGGATATTGAAACAGTTTATCCTTACATTTCAATTCGCCAAGGCTTATAATAAAAATATCAGGTCCATTTGTTTCAGTTCAGTCACTATATATTTGAGATGGTAAAAAGGAAATGAAGTTACCTTATTAAAAGATCTTGCATCTCTGTAAAACAGAACTTTAAGACAGCGGTCCACTAATGCCTTGGCCTCCTGCTCACTCATAGCATTGTTTTTCTCATAAGCTTCTCTTAACAATGGCTATAACATACACAAGAAAATGAGATTACTGTATTTCATAAAACTGCAACCAAAAATCTTTATTCCCAATGATTACTTCAATACATATTTAATTTTATTGCTGAGCTGAATGATAAATGGAGATATTATAGAAAATGTCATCATGATAAACAATGCCATCTCATTTCTCTTGTGTTTCATAAGAAGCAGAAAAATGTGATGAGTATCAAAAGAAAATGAGAAAATATGGGTAATTAAATAGCACTGAGAATCAATAAAGATGAAGGCTAGATGCTTACTTATAACAACATAAAAGTAGAATATAATCCTCAAATTGTTAATATATTCAATAGTGTTACATAAAATGTCCATACCATCGTAACTATTAATATAATATACCTGTGCTATGTAGGCTCCATAACCTGTGCAGATGACATCAGACTTGAATGCTGTGCCAATCTTGTCTACAAAGCCTAGGAATCTAAATAACAAAGGAAAGCATGAGTAATTACAGCCACTTATTTAACAAGATATAAAATTAGTAATTTTATATCAAATAGTTGTGTTTCCGCTAAAAAGGCTAGCAGGAATACAGTGGTGATGGAGGGGACATGTCTCGTTATATCTTTGCTGAAAAACTAATATAACATTAACTTAAAACTGAAAAGTTTATTTTAATTGCCTGGTTTAATTAATTCATTGATGCATAAATCAAAACTCACGGTTCATTATCCTGTATCCCACCTACAACTACAACATTCCAGAGAGGGTTGAACTGTGACCTGCGGTTGTACATGACACGTGTCATCCAGGAGTGTAGAGCTTTAGGAGTGTAAGTAAAACCGTCATCTAGACATTCTTCATCAATCCTAAAAAGAAACATCACTGATATTAAACCATGGGTTAAATAGGTTCTCCAGTAGTTCGTTCTTTGAGGATATTCTGCTATGATAGACAAGTCCATTGTATGTTCTATCTGACACTTCATGTTCATGTTGTATAATTGATAGATAATTACATTCTGTTCTATGATTGACAATAACTTTCTCTTTAATTCTTAAATGTTCTGATCAAAAAATTGATACTAACTTACACTCTGTTCTATGACTGACACAATATGTTGAAACTTGCATTCTTTGTTTATGATGATACTAACATGTTTTGATCCATAATTCATACCTGCCAACCTGAGACCAAGATTTTGCGGTAGATTTTTTTAAAATTGCTGTATTTTTGCGGTAGATTTTTTCAAAATACGGTAGTTTTTACGGTATTTTTCAACAAAATTGCGGTAGTTTTTGCGGTAGATTTTAGAAAAAAACGGTAGTTTTTGCGGTAGATTTTTTAAAAAACGGTAGTTTTTGCGGTAGATTTAAAAAAAACGGTAGTTTTTGCGGTATATTTTAAAAAAATACTGTAGTTTCAGAGGTTTGGGGTAGATTTTTGAAAAAAGTGTAATTTTGCGGTAGAAATTTGAAAAAAGCGGTAGTTTTGCGGAAGATTTAGAAAAAATGCGGTAGTTTTACGGTAGATTTGAAAAAATGCGGTAGTTTTTACGGTAGTTTTTTGAAAAACCGGTAGTTTTGCGAAAGATTCTGAAAAAATGCGGTAGTTTTACGGTAGATTTTGAAAAAATGCGGTAGTTTTACGGTAGTTTTTAGAAAAACCGGTAGTTTTGCGGAAAATTTTGAAAAAATGCGGTAGTTTTACGGTAGATTTTGAAAATTGCGGTAGTTTTTACGGTAATTTTTTGAAAAACAGGTACTTTTGCGGAAGATTTTGAAAAAATGCGGTAGTTTTACGGTAGATTTTGAAAATTGCAGTAATTTTTACGGTAATTTTTTGAAAAACTGGTACTTTTGCGGAAGATTTGCCAAAATGCGGTATTTTTCGGTAGATTTTGAAAAATGCGGTAGTTAAACCTTTATACAATGCGGTTTTCTATATTAATACAATGTTTACGTGGTCATATTGTTGTTATAGTGAATACATATTTTACTGCAAGAGTGCTTTTGATAATTACAGTTTGTAAAGCAGAACTACCACCTGAGAATTATACGAAACTATTATTTTCAAGAATAAATAGAGACTAAACACTTTTTATGCTGCATTTACCATGCCTACAATGGACTGACAGCAACTTTGGATTTAAATGTTTCAGCAAAATGTACATATACAACTCTTTTACAATAAATCTAGATTGATTCAAAATACGAACACAATATTCATATCTCCACTTTTATTTACCTTCTAACCAGTTTTTTAGATATCAGGATGTTTGGAAATACCATGAATGAAACATTTTCTGAAAATACAAAATATGGATTTTACACGTTTTTACTCGCCATCTTAGATGATCTATCACTTTAACGAATTGAAATGACAGACATAATGTTCATATAACATTGGAATCATATGGTATTAAATGTTGATTTGTTAACTCGCAAGTCTCTAATGATATCAATGTGTTTGTCTGGCACAAATAGAAAATAAGTACAGATCAATTGTCTTCCAAAAATAATCTGTTATGAGCATTTGCTGAAACCTTTCCCCTGAGACATCGTTCAGATTCGGATATCACAATACTTTTATAATAAACCAGAACTCAATGCTTTATTTTTTAATTATGTATTTCTTACTGATAATGTGTTCTAATGAAAATACAACATTTTATCGTTCTGTAAACAAATTGATTAAACTATGTATAATGTATATGTGGCGTTCATTACTGATCTTAACAAATCAAACTACGCATATTTCATACGCTAAATATGCATACGCATTTCCACTCATTTATTTAGATGAAGCGCAACTAAAATCATATTTTTGTTGCATTCGGAATAAAGATCTGTGTACAAAAGGGTTTGGTTAACTACAAAAATCATGGCAGAAAGAATTCTTTCTTGCTCGTGGTAGTTGGTGTTTGGACTGATTACACGCAAGCTTACTTAGATAAATCAAGGGCGTTACAATACCCGGGAATTTATCGGTTCGTGCAGTACTTGTTTGTGATAGCGCCCTCTGTAGGTCACTGTGCTTATAGCCTACAGTAATGCGGGGTAGGATATCGGGAATTCGGTCAGTTTCTATCCGTCGATTTCGCTATGAATTGAAGCAAGTGTGACCACTTTATCCACTTAAACAATTTGATAATTGATTAAATCTTTAAACAAAATCGATAAACACGTTATACACTTCCTATCTCCTTAGAAATTAGCATGTATTTATGGATTGTGTTTTCGAACAAGGCTCGACCCATACCAATAGGGAAATCCTTATGCTAATTAGTATGACGTCATATTTTCCTGGGGAATCCTAGATTTCAAAGCCTCAGTCTGTTATTGTGTCAAATATAAACGCTCTTTTGCAGACAGAAAATTGACAGATTAGCTTTTAACTTTCAGCTTTGATGTTTAAATATTCTGTATTTCTACCGGACTTCTTGCTGAATATCATATAATGTTATAAATTGATTTGGACAATTGCCTGATTGATCATTCTGAAATTTTGATTGTGATTCATGATTGATTGGCAAGAAAAATAATTCCTATTGTTTTCCAGCGAAGTCAAAATGTTACAGCATGAGTTATAATGTCGAGTTTGCATCATGTTAAATTCTGCTAGTGATTAGAAGTCCATGCACAAGCATACACATAAGAGACAAACACACCCAGGCTCCAGGCCGTGGATGGAAATATAAAACTATTTAAGGCACAAACTGGTATTAATAGACCGATATGTAGTGTCTGCCATGTATTGAAGGTAAACCAATCTGCATTATTAATGTTTCTTCTATCAATACATGGATTGTGCAATAGAAAAGCAATGGCACAATCAAAAATGTGCATATCAATCGTGAATATCTCTCGGTTCAAAGCTTATTTCCAACAGAATCGTGTCAAAATATGTGTCTGAGTAACAGTTATACATTATAAGATCGCAAACTCTTACCAATTATCAGCCGAATGGCTCATTTTCAACGAAATGTCCTTAAGACAACAGCCCTGGGTCGCGCCTGAGACCAAAAACTACTTCAAATAGCCCTCCCCTAATTATATTGGATAATCACATTTATGCGTGCGCGCGCAGCTCATCCACTGAACGAAACGCCACTTCCCGCTGAAATCACCGGGTATTGATCTTTCCCTTGGATAAATGCGCAATAACCTGATAACCACAGACCTGCCGATACATATTTATATTCGTGTTGGTGTAGGAATATTACAGGGACAGTACTGGAAGACTTCAATTTTTCAGCATTTCCCAATAACAATAACGGAAAATTTTACGGTAGTTTGAACAAAAATACTGTTGATTTTAGCAGAAATACGGTAGATTTTTGAAAATTTACGGTAGATTTTCAAAAATTTACTGTAGATTTTACGGCCGTTCTCATGGAATAAACGAGTTTTTTAAAAAGAAAATTTACGGTAGATTACGAAAAAAATACGGTAGATTTTTTTACGGTCGTTTTTACGGGAAAAAAATGGTATTTTTTTACGGTAGTTTGTCATTTTTTTACGGAAAAACTAAAAATTTACGGTAGATTCCCGTAAAAATACGGTAGGTTGGCAGGTATGATAATTGATGATTTGCGATCACCGGATGGATTCTAACTTGTAGTGACAAGTGATATTGAAGTCACAATTAGGCCACGCTGCTGTAGCTGTTTGATTTTTATCTTCTGTATTAAATACTATATTGATTTTTTTTCATGAAAGTATTTGATTTGACTAGATCAACATTCATTCTAAGCACATGCCAAGTCTAAGATCTTACTTACATGATTTATATAGCGGTTAAGTGCCTTCCAATTTTGAAAAAATGGGGGGTGCTAATAGGCATTGTTGTTTAGTATGAATTTCACTGAAACTTCACACATATAAAGATTTACTCATGATCCAGTCAAAACGACATAATTGGTAAAACATCTGCCCCATAGTTTGCATAAAAAAATAGACAACCGCAACGCCAAAGCGTAGCAAATCCCATCGAACAGCCATGGCTGGCATTTTTACAAACGAAATATATTGCAAAAATCGTAAAATAACGCTTTTCAAAAAGGCCGCCTACTCCCCAAAGTGTCATTAGACAGTGTGCCATGCTTATAGTATTCACATATCAAATATTAGCAAAATCGCTCAACTAATTTTCGATTATAGTAAAAAACTTAAAATTGCCGGGCTTCTACCAAAAGTGTCATTAAACAGTGTGCCATACTTATACTACTATTCACATACCAAATATGAACAAATCGCTCCACTACTATTTGAGGTACAGTAAAAATGTTAAAATGGAGGACATTTTTCAAAATGGCCGCCTTCTACCAAAAGTGTCATTAAACAGTGTGCCATGCTCATAGTATTCATATACAAAATATGAATAAAATCGCTCCATTACTCTTTCGAGTTAAAGTAAAAAACGTTAAAATGGCGGCCATTTTTAAAATGGCTTCTACCAAAAGTGTTGCTAGACACTGTGTCATGCTTATAGTATTCACATACCAAATATGAACAAAATCACTCCACAACTTTTCAAGTAACAGCAAAAATCGTAAAATAGTGTGTAAAGGCTGCCATTTTTCAAGATAGGATAAGATAGATAGGATAATAATTCTTTCCTCAAAACTGCCATGTGCCTGCCATTTTGTCTCTCCATCATGTCTAATATCATTTTTACATGACGTCATACCAATGCAATATGAAATACATGACAACAAACAAAATACTTGAATTCTGATCGCAAAAGGTCAACAATTAACAATGACAATTTTTATTCAATTGTGGATGCATGTACTATTCTATATAATTTCTTTTCTATATTTTTGAAACTTACATTCTCTGTTCTATGATATCTTTGATATGTTGATAGTCGGCATAGTCTCCTCCAGCCCCCAATACTGTCTGGTCATTCACCTTCATTAAACGAGATATATTCCTGAAATAAATGAATTCAATCTACAGGAAAAAATGGAGATATTTTTAGTTTTGCTTTCAGTTCCCCTCCTTGTAACATATACACGGTGACCAAGTGTTAACATTGGAGATAGTAGTGAATATTATTCCATGTTTGGATAGTCTGAATGGATAATCTTAATTAAATAACACTAAATGCAAATTTAGTACATATTTCTGGCATTTTTGGTGTATCACTGCGAGTACTAATGTATCGTCCATCCAATCCCGAAGGGTGCGAGCACTGACCCCCGTGACCCATTAACGTTTCGTGGAATAACAGTTACGTCTTCTATTTGCAAATTGTATAGCTGGATTTTGAATGCTCGACTTACCACTTTCTGCAAGGATAACAACCTAGTTCACGAAGAGCAAAATGGATTTATGAAGGGTAAAAGCTGCCAAGACCATATTTTTACTCTTTCGTCCATAATCGACCATAGGATTAAACGTAAGCAGAGCACTTACGTTTGTTTCGTGGACGCGAGACGAGCCTACGACAAAATTGATAGGAATTTATTATGGTACAAGCTTAGCCAAATAGGCATATCTGGTCGCTTTATGGGCGCACTTCAAGCGATGTACAATGACGTAAGAAGTTGTGTGAGCATCAATGGACACTTAACGGAATCATTTGAGGTTGCATCCGGCCTTAAGCAGGGCTGTTTAACATCTTGTTTGCTCTTCAATCTATATATAAATGACCTTATCGATGATGTAAAATCTCTGAATTCGGGAGTCGACGGCAACGGAGAAAATTTTTCCATCCTTGTCTACGCTGACGATATAGCATTTATAGGCCCAACTGAAGAGGCAGTGCAACGTATGTTGGATGTATTACGCGCATGGTGCTTTAAATGGAGAATGTCATTAAATACTTCAAAAACGAATGTGGTGCACTTTTGACCAAAGTCCGTACCCCAAACTAACTTCGCATTTAAATTTGATAATCATGACATCAACGTTAAACCATCGTACAAATATCTTGGACTCAGTTTCAACGAACACTTGGATTATTCTCTGATGGCAAAAGCAATAGCTCAATCTGCCAGTCGTGCGTTGGGTCTTCTAACAGCAAAGTATAAGTCCTTTGGAGGCCTCCCTTATAAGTGCTACACGAGATTATACGGTTGCCTAGTGCGACCAATACTGGAGTACGGTGCTGAGGTATGGGGACTTAAGCAACATTCCTGCATTAATGCTGTGTTTCACAGAGCATGTAGAATTTTTCTTGGAGTTGGGAAATACACACCAAACCTTGCAGTGAGAGCAGAAATGGGATGGCATTCCCCCTACGAACGGCAGATCCGGTCAGCGACTCGATACAGAGATCGCTGCGAAGCCCTTGAGCGCAATAGGATACCTCGCCGTATTTACAAGTGGAACCAAGATTATGCCTCTCCTAGAACCAAGAACTGGTATTACAACCTGCATCATATTATAACCAGTGATCTCTCACTTCCGTTTGATTCTTCACTTGGCCACGTATCTGCCGAACTAGAGGCAATTGTCTTCCAAAGCTGGCAACAAACCATTTGGAACGACGGAAACCGCCCAGCAGGCCAAGGAAATAAGTTAAGAACATACAGAACTTTCAAGCTGGATTTACAACCGGAATTCTACCTAGCATCTCATATTTCCATTCGCGACCGGAAAGCATTAGCCTCTTTGAGATGTGGCGTTGCTCCGCTACGTTTGGAAACGGGGCGTTACGAACGACTGTCAGTTCCAGAGAGACTGTGTTATTTTTGTGATGTTAATGCCATTGAAAATGAACACCATTTCTTGTTAAAATGTCCGTTTTATTCTAGTATCAGAAATGATTTATTTTCCAAGGTTCAGAATAAAATTACAAACTTTCAAAGACTTACTGACGATGAGAAGTTCTATATCTTGATGTCAAATCATGAGATTGCTGTTTATGTGGCAAAGGCCTGTGGCCAAATGTTTAAAAAAAGAGAACATAAACTGTACAGTTAATTTTGATGAATATCGTTTTATACATAGTGTCTTATAGGCCGAACACGGCCTGGGGTAAGAATATTGAATGCTTTTAATACGTTTGAATTTTATTACCATTTGTATTTTAGCTACATGTTTGTATTAATATATGCCCAGGACACTTTAATAAATTTTACAAATACAAATACAAAATACTATGAAGTATGATGGAATGATCGCAAAATAGACATCTTAGGAAGAAGTCAAGTAATGTTAGTTTGTAAAACATATAATAGAATATTCTTACCTTTTTGCTCCATTCTAACGAATGTCGTATTCCATGTTCTTACAAAACATGTCTAAATTGTTTGAAAAAACACGTCCGGAACAATTTCCATTGTTAAAACTTGAGCACCGTGATATATCATACACGTTCATTGAAAGTATCTAAACATCTGATTATCATGTAAAGCACGATCAGTAAGATTTTAAGTGAACTAAATGAGCTTACCTAAATCTGGCCAGTGAGCCATATGATCCCAACATGTCTGCAGCCAGAATAATTCCGCCATCAAACTTGACACCTAGAACTGAGGTACCTGTTGTAATTGGCTGTCTGAAAAATATGATGATTGAAAGTTCAAATTGCATGTATATACAGTACAGTGTAATGTGCGTGATAGGAAAATCAGATCTAGTGAGCAAACTACACAAAAGTTAGTCACATTGGCGTAGGTAAAAGGTCTACAGTGCTCACCATAAATCAAAATGACACCTGGATTTGCTGAAGTGAGGATTACCCATTCCATGTTAAAAAGAAGAAAATTTTCAAGTGACCATACATTAGTAGTTGAAAGTATACAAAATGTAAAATATACAAATCTTAAGCAACTGCTAGTGCTTTCAGAAGGTTTGTCCAAGGGAGGCACTGTCCCTGGGGCGGATTGATTTTCAAAAAGTGAGTCCCCCTCAGAAAAGTGCGTCCCATGAAAAAAGGTTCCTGGGAATTCAAAGTCACATTTGTTCAATGAACAAAAAAACTGATGAAAAGTTTCTAATCAGTTTAGTGTTATATCGAACCTAAATCAGCGTTCTACAGTACACACATCTAGTAAGTCACTAAATGATACAGATACCTTCACTTGAAAGAGATAACTTAATATTCAACCATTATATACGCATTTTCTTTTCGTATTTCGAAACAATTTACTATTGATTTTGATGGCTCAGAAAATTCCACCAGGGGCAATATCTGTGGGGTTCCATTTATAAGTTTATAAGTTATTCCATTTAGTTTATAAGTTATTCCATTTAAAAACCGCAGCCAATCATAGGACTCGTACCGATTACCGCTCAATATTGTAGCTACTAGTGATTGTCCTATCACAGGCCTCGTACTATTTCGATCGGAAATCAACTTCTAGAAAAGAAATTTCCAAATGAAATATTGTATTTCTTTTAGAAATAGAATATCCTCCGTTTATTTAGCGGATTTTGACCTGATTAAGGACTGAAGGCAAGATCTTTTTCGACTCTATCAATTTTGAAAACGACGGACTTTGCGTCCAAGAGACAGATAATTCAAATTTTTTGGAGTCCCTTCATCAAAATCTGGGTTCTCCTAATGTCAAGGACGCGTTACTGAAAGCCCTGTTAGGGATGTGTATCTACACATTATTGGAAAGTATGAGTCTCAAATCACCATGGTTTTGGAATGGTGATAGAAAAACAATGTGGCCGACAGGGAAGTATAAAAATAATATAAAATACATCAATCTTAAAATGTGATTTATGTGCATAGCTCCTTTACAATTTAAATCCCGAATATATCAGGCAAAAGTGTAACTGCACACAATGCTTGCGTATTTTGTAATATAACTATCGCAATTGGTGTCTAAAACCCATTAAAATGACGTCATCAAAACAGAAATTTACTCAAATTTGAGTGGCAAGTGACATTTTAGAGTGTGTTTATTCACATAAATGTATAAAATTAAAGGTCCACGAAGGTTCAAGACTCGTTATAAATGGATCAGAGCATAATCTGGCAGAGAATGGTCAATTGAAACTTTTCATGCCAACTCCAGCTGATATTCATTCTATTCTACGATAAATACTGCTTATGTTTGATAAAAGATAATATCAGATATAAGTATAAGGTGTATTTGAAATATAAGACCGACATTTATGTTTGGAATTATGACATTTGAGACGACAAATGCAAATCAGTTTGAGGTTAATTTTCCATTGATTTTTGGTAGTGCACTGTAGAGTGAAACACAGACAATAATCTGCCCGAGAAAGTCAACATTTCACATGTAAATTCTGATACATTCAGAAGTATTGAAGATGACTTGTAAAACTGTTTGAAAAAGACGTTTCAGGTTACAATAGATCTAGCCTAGCCTAACATCTAAATGGCAAATCCGAAATTGTGTCAATTATCCAGGTAAATTGGTATGAATCGATCCAGAAAATGCGATGCACGGCTGAATAGCTTGGACGTTTAACTCAATGTAGTTTAGTTATAGTTATTCACTGCTAGGTCATACCGACCTGTGGCCAGTCTTAAGATTTAATTCTAAAAATATTTAGCATGGTTAAGCATTGACCCTATTAATTGACTGAACCCGGTGGGTACCTCAAAGCTCTGTAGTTATATCTTGTAGGGTGGTTTCTTCCATAATTTGTCCAGTCTGTTCTTGAAGAGATTGATGTCTTGGGCTTTTACTTTTACTTCTTGGGGGAGGGAAATCCAACTGCTCACTTTTCTCTGGGTGAAAAAGCCCCGTTTCAGTATTGTCTTATTTTGTTTCTTTGAAACTCTCATTATATTGCCACGAGTTCTACCAATGTTCTGGGAGAGGGGAAGGAATATTGCTTATTGGTATGTCATATACTTTTCATTCAAGATTTTCCATGTTTCGTGGCCACATTTATAATTTTACTGCAGATCTTTTTTTTATATTATGTTGCAATGTAGTCATTTGATTGCTCATTTTTACGTAAAGGCTAGAGTACCGACAATTGTCGGTACAGGAGACTGTGCTTTGTTGACACGCTAGAGGACCGACAAATAAATTGTTGGCACTTTAGCCCCTCCTAGTAAGAAATGCTAGAGAACCAAATGTTGACACTGAAGCCACTCCTAATGGGATCTAATACAGAACCGACCAAAAGTCTGTGGGTCTGCTAAACACTGTAAAACATGCTAAATTCACAAGCATTGTGATTTCGCCTTTATTTGCCTGATTGTAAAATTGCGAATATAAAACTGTGTATTATCCTGAGTAATGTGGATGAATTAATGGAACCAAAATGAAGAATAAAATCTACTGGTATATATTATTTCTAATTGTGTTTTGTTTATTTTATTCAAGTGTTATGCAATAAAAACAAATGTAAAGAAAAAATTAAAAGTCGTATTTGAATACATTTGTTTGTTTCAACCATGGGCTCTATCAGATGGGTATGCAACGAGCCATTGGCGCCCTGTTAAATGGTGGCCTCGGCTTGGTGGTAGAGCCCATGTTTCAACACTACATGCTGTGTTATTAACTATAAAACATGTACAATATAAAGTTAGTTAAAAGAGCGTTTGTTGTTTAAAATACCATCATCATTATCCCGTGCCAGGACTATAGTCCTGCATTGAGGGCAATCTTTTGCCTGTATGATTACAACTTGGGAGAATTATCTACGTCCCTTACACTTAAGATACCTACTTCAATAGATTCCTGGGTATTTTAGCATTCTTTTCATGTAGTTGAATCCACAATTGTCTGGGTATATTGGCAGAACGGGAACATTTTTCTTTTTCATCGAGAGATATTCCATCACTTTCCAAGATGGCGGTTGAATTTAAAAGGGGATTCCCCATTTGACTGACCCGGAAGTGGCCCGGAAGCACCAATAAATGGAGGAATTTGACGGTTGAAATAAATTAAATATTACACGCAAATATTATGGTTAAAAACGAAAATTTCTTTGTTCTACCAATAAACCCAGACAATTGTGGATTCAACTACAAAAAAAGAATGCTAAAATACCAAGGAATCTATTGAAATAGGTATGTTAATTGTAAGAAGCGTAGAAAATTCTCCCATGTTGTAATCGTTAACATTTAAATTTTACTGTAGACTAGGCTAAGGATGAAATTTAGCCGGGAATCTGAAGGAATATTAATTGAGCCACTGCTGATCCTACTACAAAAGAATCTGGCCGGGATCTATGGTTTAGCCGGGAATTTCGCTGAATCATTTCAAAATTTAGACCACGATTGCTTGACGATTATGATGTTACATACAAAAATTTATTAAAATACGATTCACTTACTGAGTATGTTTTCTAGGCATGTCATTATATGTTGAAGAATTTCCTGGTAAACTGTAAAAAGCTCCAGGTTTGGGACCACCGTGCCAAAATCCAGTCTCCATCATTTTTCAAGCGGATATGACGTCACATTTCCTTTACAAGGAGGAGTGCCAATATTCACAAATTTATGTCAATTTAATACTATTCACGAAATAAAGAGGGAATATCAGCAAAAAGCATTTCCCCTCCCACGTTCACTGGCAGGGCCGTAGGGAGAGAAGGTTCGGAGGGTTCGTCCGAACCCACCCCAAATCTTGCCTCAAACATTTCGAACCAACCTTTTCCGGCAATCCCAAATGCAAAGATGGAAATATAAGAGATGTATAACTTGAGTAAAACAAAACGTAAAGGCTAGAGTACCGACAGTTGACCGTAGTAGTTCATTAAAATCGGTATATTTCTACGGAAATCGTAGAAAATCTACGACCGGCTTACGGTCTCCGTACGGCATTTCCAGTTTTTGAAACCCATAAAGTCGCCGTAGAAATCAGTAACTCGGAGTTGAACTGTTTTCGTTTCTACGGTCATCAGAAGTTATCAAACCGGAGCCATTAGAAAATCGAAAAGCTTCCACAGTGCCAGTACGTGAAGCATATGATACGGTCAACTCGCAGCTACCCTTAGATTAAATGGGTTATATTTGTTCTATGTAAATCGCATTACCTATCAAAACAAAACGCCAGACGCAAGTCAACCGTATCGGTCAGATGTGCGGCGACCGTGGGACCTACATGTATCTGTGGTCTAGCTACTAAGGCCTGTTAATTCCTACGGGGATCGCAGATAACATTATGACTCCAAGTACCTTCTACGGCTAGCATGCGGTCTGTTAAAAACTGGATAAGCCGTACGGAGATCGCAAGGCGACCGTAGTTTTCCTACGCTTGTCGCAGAATTGGGCTGATTCAAATGATCTGCGGTCGACGTACGGCCGCCATTGACAAATGTGGTTGGAGGTATGGCTTATGAAATGTGCTCCATGCTTTGTGAATAGAGAGTGGTGGGTATAGAATATTCCAAGGTAATTACGTATACAATACTCTATATGTATTGTGAAATTAAGACGAAAGCCCTGAAAATATTGACGTTTGACAATTTGTCCATTTCCTTGTCACATTCCATAAATGCCATTACTCGTGTCTCTGGTATGAATGTAATTACTATGGAACTTATTCAATCAATCAAAAAATATATTTTGGAAGTATTGTAACATTAAAATCTCAGTCACATTTGCTCTACGGCGACCATACACGGCATATCCATCCCCATAGAGTCGCCGTAGGAATTATAACTTTGACACACCGTAGCCGACGGTAGAAAAGTTCCACGCTAGCCGTACGTCTGGCGTATGGTCTTATGACTGCCCTGAGGTTTTATAAGTTACAAATTACCTTTATAAACGGTAATTACAGTTGGATCGACCGTAGGATCCCCCCGCGGACGCCTTGTGTCTGCCTTACCTACGCCCGCCATGAAGACGCCCTACGGCGACCATGCGTCATCATTTAAAAGACCGCGCGACAACCATTAATTTAGAAGTAATAGACCGTACGGTCGCCATACCAAGTGTGACTACGGTCGTCTTACGCTCAGGTTGCGGTCTCCGTATGGCGTATCCGTGTTTTTGCATCATGATACACCCCAGTGATATATACTGTATGTATCAAAAATTGTAATTTCATGTAACTTTCAAACAATTAATTATGTTCAGGAGTCGTGTGTCAACTAGTTTAGAGCATTTCGAGACATGGCAGCAGTCACTTGAGGATTGGGTTATAGAATTTGTTATCACAATCCTCCTAGTAATTTTTTCAGGAATCACATCACAGGCTGGTATCGAGATATTTGTCCGCTGTGACGGAGCATGCTATTTCTCATAAAAACACTAAGAATACTTCACGATTTATTTTTGAACTCAAAGGTTTCGTTATACCAAAGACAATTACTTACTCGATGCAATGGATATATCATTTGCTGGTAACTTTCACTTCTGTTTGAAGTCCAATTACGCTGGGAAGAAAACCTTTGGAAAATGGCGCCGGAGTATCATACTTCAAAATGTACCGTCATTTCTTGAATAAAATAAATTTAGTGTTGGTCCAACCTCGTCAGATTTAAGCGTCGTGGCTCGTCTTTACCAGCGCCATTCGAAATTGGTACGATCACTAATCACAGGGTGGATAAATAGGGGTTATGCACTGGGAGGTTTTGGATACAGGGAATATTCCGAGGGATATACAATATATCTTCCCGAGGGACCGAAGGCATTGTGCAAGTAATAAAAATACAAGACTGGGGGTTCTGATGTCTTGTAATCTCTGTAAGTTTGTGGTTTGTTATGTCCTTGGGCTATTCATTTTGGATTATTTTTTTGATTTATCCAACGGGTGGTTAAAACATAAAATTAAGCCTTTGGCCTGGAGCGGGACATATACAATATATCCTGCCCGCTCCTCAGATACGATATATATTTCCGGGTGATATCTACCCCAAACCCACTCAAGTATGAGATACTAGACTATATCCTATTTAGTCTGAATATATTCAGACTGACTTCTCAGTCTCAGTCAGTCTGTCAGATACATACTAGGTGCCTAGGTTTGTTCGCATTTTAGGCCTGAAATACTGATCTAATATCATCAAAAGGATTTCAATTGTACAATTAAGCATACTTTCCGAGTGGAAATGTCTGATTGGGATATAACGTCAAAATGATCCCTAATTTATGATATAAATCAGAGAATTTTGAACATATGAAAGTTCGGTGATGCAATGCACGTGATGCACCAAAGTTCTGAACGCTAGGAAACTCATACTAAAATGTTCTTACTTTTTAATGCTGTAATTTGAACAAACGGCAAGTATAAAGATCACTCACTATAAAAACCGGCGGGAGCTTACATGGGTGAATTTGAAAATGAAGAACAATGTTTCAATCAAAGGACAATCGGGATGCAAACATTATAGTATTTGGCCAGGAGTCACTTTCAAAGTTGTTTTCTCTCATTGGAACTAACATTTTTGCTAGTTCTGCCACCTATTTATTTGAGGAGCACATTGTGCAAGTAATAAAAATACAAGACTGGGGGTTCTGATGTCTTGTAATCTCTGTAAGTTTGTGTTCTGTTATGTCCTTGGGCTATTCATTTTGGATTATTTTTTGGATTTATCCAGAAGGTGGTTAAAACGTAAAATTAAAAGGGATTTGAATAGGCCTTTGCTGAAAAAAGTTCTAGATTTTTGCCCTTATATATAAATGTTCCAAATGATCGAAATTGATCAAACATTGGGATATTTCACCCTTGTTAAATTCCAGCAAACTGGCCAAAGTTAAGCAAATTTAGCAACATTTAAGCAAATTTGGCAGAGATTAAGCAAAGGACGATTCTCGGTTTGGAGAACGAAGTTCATCAATCTAAATGAGCATTATCCCTGCTTCGGACAAATTTGATTTTTTACATAATATAGATTGGAATGTCTTCTTCTGAATAGTCATAATTTAATTTGGGTAATATTTCTAGATTTTTTGCAAAAAAATATTAGCGCAGTACGCTGATGAACTTCTTTCCCCAAATCGAGATTTGTATTTTATTGAATCTGTCTAATTGAGCGTTATCCCTGCTTCAGACCAATTTGTTATTTTTACATCTTGTAGATTTAAATGTCCTCTTTTGAATATTCATAGTTAAGCAATATATATTTCTGTATTTTTCATGAAAAAAATTATTAGCCCAGGAGACTGTTCTCCAAACCGAGAATCGTCCTTTGGAAATTTTTCCAAAATTCACAGTTAGTGGCTCCGAAAAAAAATTGCCAAAAATAGTCGAACCCCCTCCTGTCAAATCCTGGCTACGCCACTGCACTGGTCCTCACCTAGTCACCATGAGTCAGCTGCAGTGTATCATGGCGGAACAACTTCCGGATTGTTTTTGTTACACTGAAGATCGGCATGAATATTGCCAATATTACACTGACGTAGAGCTTTGAAAGGATTACAGTGACGAATGAATAATATTATAGAGAAAGTTGATCTGTGGAATATCATGGTAACATTATAAAAATCGAGTCGAATACATCAAATAAAGAGATTACCTCTTTACTTGGTCTTAATGCTTTTATACATGTTTCCAGGCCTATGTAAGTACTCTCTATTAAACATTAAAAAGGAAGCAGTTGACTTAGAAAGACGAGTTACCTCATGAATAGGACCATCACGTTCATTCCAGATGGTAGAAAATACTATACTATTATATACGAGTTACCTCATGAATAGGACCATCACGTTCATTCCAGATGGTAGAAAATACTATACTAGGTCGTTCAATAAGTTCATGCCAAAACATTATCATTTTTTCATTTTTAGTGTTTTTCCTTGAAACTTTAACAAATCATAAAAAAAATAAATACTCATTGAAAAACAAAAAATAAATTAATTTGTTTTGGTTGGTCAAAAGTTATGGTTGCTATGGTAACCCATATTTTGGTCACGCGGGGCAATTTATGACGTGAAAAAGTTTAATTTTAATTGAATTCAAATGTAACCCCATCAGCTGAAGCTGAGATAGTGAATCAACTTATAATTATTCTTATGTCAAATAAATATGTTCCACCCTTTAATTTCAAAAGTATGAAGTTTTGTACAAGTTAACGTATTCTTTCTTTTAGAGTATTCAAGTTGTTAGAGAGAATAAAAAGTTTCATGCCCACTCTCACTTAAAACTACAGTTTTTATCAATTCTTATACAGGGCGTCCACAAAAAAAGTATACCCAACTTCAAAACCAAATTACTAGAATTCTGAGCAATCTTTTTGAAATCCAAAGGCAACAGCAAAAAGCCTTATTTATCCTCCATCAAATGGTACCTAGATCATTATGTAACAGTTACGTATGACTGAGCAATCATGACTATTCTGATAGGTGGTAAATTTAGCACTGTGCCAAGTTATCTTCCTGTATGGCAATCGATGTGTAATTGGCTTAGTATTCTTTTTCTGTTGCATTATCTTAGATGACAGGACTTTCATAATGAACTGGACTAGGGGGTGAGTAGCTCTCTTATGAAAAAAGATTTGGCAAAAAGCTTACTTACTCTA